TGAATAGTGAAGGAGTTAGAGTGACTCAGCCTGAACTTATAGAACAAGAGTTTTTAATGTTCTATCAAAACTTGTTTGGAAAGGCAAAAGAAGGTGTTCAAGCAGTTGATATGAATGTTATCCGCAGGGGCAGAGTGTTAACTACAGAAGAGTCAGAAGAGTTATGCAGGCCATTTACTACTAAGGAAGTGGAGATTGCCCTATTTTCAATTCCTTCTAACAAATCACCGGGGCCTGATGGATTCACTTCAGGGTTTTATAGAGCAGCTTGGTCAATAATTAAAAATGATGTCACGGCTGCTGTCTTTGACAGTGGGAAAATCCTCAAGCAAATTAATGCCACCAATATTACTATTGTTCCAAAGGTGAGTTGCCCAAATGTTGTCAATGATTATAGGCCAATAGCTTGTTGTAATGTCATCTACAAGGTGATATCAAAGCTCTTAACCCAGAGGATTAATGAAGTGCTGAGCATGCTGGTTAGCAATAATCAAACTGCATTTGTGAAGGGCAGATCTATAACGACAAATTTATTGATTTGCCAAGATCTGATGAGGAACTATCATAAAAGCAAGGGGCCAGCTAGATGCTTAATGAAAATTGATCTACAAAAAGCATATGATTCAGTGGATTGGGGTTATGTTAAGGCAATGTTAAGAGGGCTGAACTTCCCTGATAGATTTATTAATTGGCTTATGCTTTGTGTTTCTACTACTAGATTTTCTGTATTGATAAATGGACAGCCAAAGGGTTATTTTCAAGGGCAACGAGGGCTTCGACAAGGTGATCCAATCTCACCTTATCTATTTGTGCTAGTGATGGAATATCTCACAAGGAAATTGAAGGAGTTAGAAATGCAGGAGAAGTTTAAATATCATAGTAAGTGTCGAGTGATGCAACTTACGCACTTGATCTTTGCAGATGACATTATGCTTTTTTGTAAGGCTGATGAGGAGTCCATTGTTTTGATGATGCAAAAGTTTGAGGAGTTTGCCCGAGTCTCTGGGTTGGAAGTGAATAGAATGAAGAGTCAGGTTTTCTTCAGTGGTGTTAGAGAAGGGCAGAAAGTTGCTTTAATTCAAAAGTTGGGTTTTGCTTAGGGACAACTACCAATAAGATATTTGGGGTTGCCATTGATTTCAAAAAAGCTGTCTCCTGGGGCATGTCAACCTATTATCGATAAAATTCATTAGAGAATTGGCTCTTGGGCAACGAAATTCCTTTCATATGCAGGTAGAGTTCAACTAGTTAACTTTGTTTTATTCCACATTCAAGTTTTTTGGAGTGGTGCTTTATTGATTCCTAAGAAAGTGTTAAAGCTAATTGATGCTGCTTGTAGAAATTTCATTTGGTGTGGTAAATGGAATTATAATGCAATGTCTCTTGTAGCATGGGATGATGTATGTGTGCCAAGGAAGAAGGGGGACTAGGGGTGAAGCAATTGCTACACTGGAATAAGACAGCATTAGCCAAATTGGTTTGGAATATATGTCAACATCAAGAGTCGCTGTGGGTTAAGTGGGCACAGATGGTGCTGTTGAGAGGTGAAAATTTTTGGAAGGTTAAAATCCCAGCGGATTGTGCTTGGACATGGAGGCAAGTTTTAAAACTTCGTCCTCTATTGAAAAATATCATTTGGATGCAAGTGGGAGATGGAAGACAAGTTTCTCTATTCTATGATTGGTGGGCAGGTGAGTTAAGGTTCTGTGAGTTGATCTCAAGGGAAGAGATTGATGTTTGGGGCCATGACCTTACAGTTAGTGAGTGGTGGGATGGTTTAGACTGGACCATTCCAGATAGTTTTGTGAGAAGACATCCCATGCTTGTTCAGATTATTAGATGTCAAAAACTATCTCAACAAGTGGACAATGCTGTATGGAAACCTGCAAAGAATGGTTTGTTTACTATTTCAAGTTGCTATGAGTTCCTAAGAGTGAAACGCCCTAAGGTAGAATGGCATCATATTGTTTGGGCAGGGTGCATTTTCCCGCAACATAGATTCATCTTTTGGTTGGTATTGCGGGGTTGACTAAAAACTAGAGATTTACTAACAAGTAGAGGTATGAGAATTGAGAAAGGGTGCTGCCTGTGTGGTAGATATGATGAAACTTGTGAGCACCTGTTTTTTTATTGTAGTTTTGCTAAAGAAGTGTGGAGGTTAGTCTTGGACTTCTTGAATATTCACAGACAACCAAAAAGGTGGAGTGTTGAATGGCTATGGTTAAAGAAGACATGTAAAGGCCGATCGACGCAGTCAAACAAGTTAAAGGCTGCGGTAGCTGCCACTATATATATGATTTGGCAGGAAAGAAATAAAAGAGTAACTCTTAGTAAGTTTTTGGTTGAAAATGATGTATATAATAAAGTAGTTAATTTTTTAAGATTAAAGATCTGAATGGTGTAATTCCCTAGGTATACTTGGGAGGAAATTGTACATGTTATCTAACGTCTAATGGAAAACTTGTCTTTTTTTCAAAAAATATCACTTTATTAAAAAATTTTAAAAAAAATTATCTAAAAATTTACATTTTAATTAATATTTTAAAAATTAATTATCGAATTAAAAGTTTTATTTATATAAATTATATATGTAAATTTTTATACTAATTTAAGTTTTATTACTTTTAAATAAAAAATTTTACTCATTGATATATATGTTTAATTGTATTAAATTTTATATAATTAATAAAATAATTAGATTTAAGAAAATAATTTAAAATTTACAATACATAAAAAATAAAAATTTTAATTTAACAGTTAATCTTTTAAAATATTAATTAAAAGTTAAACTTTTAAATAAATATTCGGAAAAATTTTTAAAAATCGACATATAAAATAATTTTCCATATTTTAAAGATAAATATAAAAAACTAAACAGTGGGACAACAGTGGATGACCTACTTTTGTAGATTGCAGTATCCACAGTAAATCCCCAACAGACACCAACCTCAACATGGCCGACACAAAGCCCCCCCGCGCATTTAGACAGGTGGACCCATTTCATCAGTCGCCGCTAATCATGTCGTGATATTTGTACTAGTGGTAGTAGTTTTCTAGGTTTGGTATGGACGTACTACACTTTATTAAGTTCATATAAATTTTAAATGATAATGTATATTAATATTGGCTTTCATTAAAAAATTATAATTTAAAAATATTATTTTTAATAAATATTTTAAAATAATTATTAAATTTAATATTTTATTGATATAAATTATATATTTTAATTTTTAAGTTAATTTAACATCTATAATAATTCATTGTATTTTTAATATATATTAAATGGTGATAGATTTTTATAATCAATAAATTAGTTATATATATTCTGTTAATTTAAAAATTGACATACATAATTTATATTAATAAAATATTAAATTTAATTGTTAGTTTTTTAAAATATTTATTGAAAGGTGGTTGTTAAAAAACCCTCAAGCGATGCCGCATGTATAGAATCTAAATATGGGCATGTCACGTGAAATAAGAAAGGAAAATTTTCCTAACAATTCAAAGTTGTTAATACCGTACCGGTATGTGTATCGATTTTGTTACTGAAACGGTACATATCGGATACTGAAATTTTTCATGTACTGTTTCAAATTTATCGCTATAAATATATATTTTTATAAATTAAATATCAAAATTTTGAAAACAATTATATTTAAAACCATTATATTTCTATAAATTGAAAACAAGTTTAAAATGATCATTTTTAGTCCCTTAACTTCTAATATATGCAAATTTTTCATCCATCCACTTTAAATTAAAGGACTAAAAATGTGTATATTTAGACAAATTTAACAAAATAATTGATAGAATGAAAATAAGAAGAATGGACTAAAAAAGTACATAAAAAAATTAAAGGATGAAAATTATATAAAATATTAAAGTTGAGGACCAAAAATGAAATTTACTCTTTTTAAATTTAAATTGAGTTGTACGAACAATTTTTGTGTACTGGTATTTGAAATTGCAATTGTAGGGTATTAAGAAGCCCCTAACCCAAAACGACGTCATTTTGGGTTAGAGAATCCTTTTTTTTTTTTTTTTTAAATTTGCTAGTGTCTATCAGTCGAAATTTCGGTGAACCAGTCGGTACATCAAAATTTCGACCGGTACATCGAAATTTCGACTGGTACATCGGATTTTGACTGAGTCAATTGGATTTTGACTTAAACGAATTTTCATATTATACCGTTTCGATCAATGCAGAAAACCGGTATAGTATGACATTGACTCCCTTGCAACAATCATTTTCTTCCTCGCAGATGGTTGGAAGAACGTTAATTCAAATTGAATTATGCACTTTTAGACTATTTGTAAGAAAGAGTGATGCCTTTACATAGAATGGGTTGTTAAATCTGTCTTGAATAGCTCAAAGGACTTAGACACTATGATGAATTAAAGTTAATAGAACCTAAATAAACTAAATGATATGCAAATTAAAATAAACTTACAAATAAATATGCATCCAAGTTAAACTAAGTATATATGTTCATTATCAAATTAAATTACTATCTACATACAAATTTAGAAATCAAACTACTACAGAACTAAAGATTTAACCCTAAATAATCATGAACCTAATATGAACAGAGGTTAAACTAACATGCTAAATATTAAGAAGAATTGTGAATGCCATATAAGTAACTATTTGGAAAAACAGTACCTATCATAAATATTAGACTAATACCACCAAAAAAAAAAAGAAAAACAGTGTCTTGCAGATATTGAAAAGCTTGATGTTCATTACATGAAAGGAAATTGTATAAGCAATTAGACAAACTAATGTGGCTACTTGAACATTGAAAATAACTTAAATCTATTGGGATCTATGCTGAAAACTAAAATCTATAAGCTAAATTAGGCAATCGCTATGAAGCTAGAGAATTGAAAATTTAACGAGTTGTATGTAGGGTTAGTCATATGTTGAATAATAAAAAATTTTCCTTCTGTTTGTTTCCTCCTTGTTTGCAACTCCTCACTATCGGGTGGTTACTCCAATGTGGGTTGTTTCTAAAAGAAGATGGATACCTCAATAGGAGACTAAGTCAAATCTCCATCCAAATTTAGCCATCTATCCTTGTTATCTGCCAGGTCACGGTCTTAATTGAAATAAACTCCTAAAACCAACTAAAACAATTCCATCATGACTCAAATAAGCAACTAAAGGATAAATCCCATCTCTACAGCCTCTTTCTTTGTTTATGTGGCATCTGCTCTGTTAAGGACCCTAGAACAGCATATCTAATGTGGCTCAATTTCATCCAACCATTTAAAAAAAATTAACATGTGGCATAATCTTAAGTCTTGTAATATATGGTGTAAATAGTGGTGTTTTCAAGTTGATACTCAAATTTTAATTTTATGGGAGTTGGGTTGATGTATGCTATAATTTTATTTAGTTTGATTGATATTTTATTAGTTTATAATTTTTTAAACAATTAATTATAATGTTTTAAAATATCAATTTATAAGTTGATTTCAATCTATTAAATAATAAGTAATTGTTTTTGTTAGTTTTCAACTATTCTTAACTACTAAACCAAAAT